TTTCAATATATAAACTTGGGCCATTCCTGTATATGAAGATCTACAGGATACTGAATTACTGAACTTCTCAACTCGGATCTCATCTTCCTGAAATGTTTTTTTCCCAACGTCACGTTTAAGTGAGCGTATTTTGCCGAATTGCAGGGCTGGTACGCACAATTAACGGTCACATGAACGTTTGCGTAACGACTCAAATTTTGTTCGTATTCCTTCATCCTGCCCTGAGAAGTTATACCATTTAGATTTTTATGTTCTAGACATATCTCAATAACATCACTTGCATAGTTTCCCCTTTCCCTAAATCATTACGTGCAAGTGGCGTGACAGTATGAGTAACAAAGTCGGATAAAACAACACGAATACGGGTTCATATTCCTTTATTCTGCTTGAAGAGGTGATGTCCTCATTCATAGAGGGGGGAGATAGGCTTTCGGATCGAAGGATTAGGCCGTAAAAAGGGCACGGGTTGTGGATTTTTGCGGTAAATCGAGCGCATTCGCAGATTTTGAAAACACAGTGGATCGTGGATCAGCTGTGAATTTTGGCGGGGATTCCGGCCGGATTGTGCCTGCCTTGATGTTCGGATCTGGGGTCCTAAACAAAATTTGGATCATAGATATTGCTTCAGCCTTGGTCGGTATGTTAATGAGTTGATGCAAATTATTTCTTTTTTCGAATGAAATTCATTTAAACTCAGGTGTGACTTTTCTTGGAATTGTACTGTGTTAGAGTCATCAAGCTGGTTGCCTTCTTCACTATTTGTGCGAAATTAACAATGGTATTCACATTAACCAGTTTGCCTTTGAACTTTTACACTTCTGTTTCCGGATGTGGTTGTGGTTTCGGACCTGAACAAAAGTACAGGCGGATCAACAGATTTGGAGAAAAAAAGACACGGATCGGCGGATTTCCATACCCCTATTCACCCCCCTCTTCATATCACATTAACATCGCTGGCAGAATTTCCCCTGCAGTGTCACGTTTGGCATACATATAGAACACAAACGGACCCTTTAAATTAGAGGGCTCAATTTACATTTAGGCTTTTCGTATT